GGGGGGTTTTGGGGGGGGGGGGGGGGGGGGGGGGGGGGGGGGGGGGGGAGAGGAGGGGGGAGGGGGGGGAAGTGGGGGGTGGGAGGGGCGTGCCTGAGGGGTGGGAGGGGCGTGCCTGAGGGGTGGGAGGGGCGTGCCTGAGGGGTGGGAGGGGCGTGCCTGAGGGGTGGGAGGGGCGTGCCTGGGGTGGAGACGTGTTATGGGTGGTGCTTGAAGGAGTGGGTGGGCTAGGGTCGGGGGAGTGGCCTTGTCTGAAGGGTCTGAAGTGGCCTTGTCTGAATGAGTGCGGAGTGGCCAAGAAGGGCATTTCTGAGAGAGTGGCCGAGAGTGGTGGTCCCAGGAAGTGGGCAGGAGAGTGTGGGAGTGGTCTAGTCTGAGGGCGGGTCTGGGAAGGGCTGAAGGAGGGACTGTCTGCAGGCTAGTCGGCCTGGGTTTTTGGGAGGTCAGGCTCCCAGCACAGCTTCTGTACTGTCCGCCCTGCAGTTGTGAAGCTGTCCTCTAGGCCAGATGCAGAGGAAAGCGCACCCCGAGTCCCCGAGTCAGAAACTTTCCCTTTCACAGGAGTGTGCATTTCACAGTAACCACCACCTGTTTGACCACACACTGAAGCAACGGTGCTGGACCCAAGGGCCAGCTGTCCCCAAGGTGGATCCACACCAACAGGGGAGACAGCGCAGGGCGGGCATGGGGGCAAAGAGCCAACACCGAGGCAGGGCCTTTGGCCTCCCTTCCACTCTCCGTGTCCCAGCAGGACATGGAGGACAGAGGTGGGCGGGCTTGGGCAGGTGAGCAGGGGCGTGCTGTGCACCAGCTCACGCAGGCTGCTCCTGCCCACGCATGCCCCACATGTCCACACACGCAGTCTGAACAATTTCTGTGTTCCTGACACCGCATCCAACCACAGTGACCGGGCAGCACAGGGCAGGCCAGGTCTGTGCACAGGCAGAGGGTAACCTCAGAGACGCCCTGAAACCAAGAGCCCTAAGTGCTGCCACTCACTCCAGACCCCACACACCCAGGAGCGATCTGGGAGTGTGGAGAGAGGTTCTGGTCCTAGGTCTGTGTCCTCCCTGGGCACAATGTCACTGTCCCTCACTCGGCCTGTTTCCTCAGCTGTCTACTGGGCGCAGTCATACAGACAACTCCACGACCCTCTGGAGGATGCAGTAGCCACCTCCCACCTCACCACTTGGGGCTCAAGTCCCCTGGTCCATCACCAGTGCTGCTGGCTACATGTCACCGGCCGCAGGTGTCACTTGAAGGCACTAGCCTCCAGCGCCACCAGCCCAGAAGATAGATGCGGAGTGCCCCGCACGGCCCGGGGGCCCAGATCAGGGTTTTTCGAAGTTCCCTGGGCAACTTGACCTGTCATCCCAGTACTTCTCAAAACAAACGAAACCCTTCTAACCATCCCTGTACACACAGGAAGGACTGCGTTTTTTGGTTTACACCTGAGGGCATGTGTACCCCAGGCCTCACTGCCCAGTCTGCTTAAGGGTCATGACCACAAGCCATTGTACACCACTGAATCTGGGAGCCCCAACCTGCGCACAGACCACAACAGCTGGGACTGGCCAGCTGGAGCTGTCCCTGAACAAGTGCACACCTCACAAGCCATGGAGGGATCGGGGGCTGACGTGCTGGCCAGCCTGAGCCTGCAGGGGTGGTGGGCACATCGTGTGTGTTGGCAGGCTCCCAGGACCGGGTCGGGGTTTAGCCTGAGGCCTGCCACTGGACAGACAGGGTTGGAACAGGGCACACCGTGTGAGAGACAAGCCCCCTTTGGGAGCAGAGCCAGGGTGGGCTTCATCACGGAGGCCCCTCCCGGTGCTGGGGAGAATCCTTCTCATCTGTGAAAAAGAACAGTTGCAACGGCCTCTCTCCGCTGAGGTCTGTCTCAGGGTTGAAGAGAGAAAATTGACAGGTATGAGTGAGCAAGAAGCCACACTGGCCCCACCGCCATGCCCAGTGGCTGGGGGCCTGGACCCCCGCGAGCTGACCCCCCCCACCACCATGCCCAGAGGCTGGTGGGGGCCTGGACCCCCGCGAGCTGACCCCCTCCACCGCCATACCCAGAGGCTGGTGGGGGCCTGGACCCCCGCGAGCTGACCCCC